TCAACAGTACTCTTAAGAAAAACGTGTTCTGGACTTTTCATCGAAAAAGTGTATCTTCGAAAAATTTGTTCATTTTATTTTTAGTGAAATAGGAATTAACCGGTAATTCTGCAGAATAGGTAGTTCTTGAAATTTTTATATTTTTGTTACAAATTTATTCGTAAAAATAGGTGACAGCAACAATCGGGAGAGGTTAGGTTGAGTTAGGATCGTATAGTGTCTGATCGAGAGAAGAAATTGAAAAATAGTGTGAAATCGAATTAATGAAATTGTGAACAAATTTAAAAATTTCCAGAAAGAGTTTTAAAGATTTGGTATTACATTCATAGTTGTGTATTCTGTTAGCAACAAAGTAACAATCAGTTGATCATACGTAGATTGAAGTAACGTGGAGTGGACGCAGCCACGTGTACTCATATGCTGAAGAAGTTGAAAGAAAACGTGGATAGAATGCTGGTCCAGAAAGAAGTAAAAAGGAAGGAGTGCTTCCTGCGTGGTGAAGACCCGAGGTTCGCAAAAAATACGGTTAAATTCTGGAGCGAAAAGAAAGGAGTTGAACCATTAGCGGAAACAGAAATCCACAGTCTGGCTATCAGTGACCTGACGAAAGGAAGTGACGCATAAGAAGAGGAGGAGGAAGACAATGAGAAGTAGCTTGATGAGATAATGAATAATTGGCAGAGATGTAACAGCGACAGAAAGCCGAAGCCACCGGAGATATTGTAGGAAAAGTCAATAAGAAAAGGAAGGCGGAATATTGGAGCATAAATGGCACGAGTGTTGTTAGTTAAATTAATAAAGATGCGGTGCGAGTGATAATGAAGGAGGAAACTGAGGAGCGAAGAAAAGAGGGTTTCGGTCTCTGTACCTGGACGTAAATAAAAAATGTCTACCACGGCAGTGAGACTGCGAGTAGAAATGATTACGTTAACGAGGACGACGAAATGATTGCGGCAGTAGAAACTATTATTGCCCACCTCTCTTCGTACTCAGATGCCATTGACACGACTATCCTGAACATTGGCAGTAGTTGTAAAACTGAAGTCTTCTGGACCATCCAAAAAGAAGAAGTCGGAAGAAAAACAGCTCTTCCCTGCAACGGGAAGAAAACTCTGCGAATGAACGAGAAAAAGACAGATGCTGAAAGGAAATTAAGAAAGAGGAAAAATATCAGACCACAGCCCTAGCCGTGAAGATAGAAGAAGGAATTATAACACTGTTAATGTACACAATACCCAAAGGAAAACTTCTGTACAAGAGTTATTGTGCATGAAGGAGACAGCGGAGCAGCAGGTCAGGACTATTCAGAATATCAGCGAAACAGAGGTTAAAGATATTGTTTTCCTCGTTGACAATTGACAGAATAAGACAGAAGAGGACCTTGGAGACGTTATAAACAATGAAGATGGTGCATGGACAGCAATTCGAGACAACTGTGAAGGACGTTATTTCATAAAGAACAGGACCCATACGGAGCACCATTCTAAACAGCTTATAAAAGTTGCCAGGGCACTGATACGGCGTCTGATCAGACGGGAAGAATAAGAACGAAATGGTGGCAAGTGCTACTTTTGCATGTCATGTAAAGAACGTAAAAGGAAGGGATCAGCAGAACTACAAAATATTGGACAGATATAGTTTATTAAAACAAATAAATAAACAAACTAATGTTGCAAATAAAAGTACATAAAATTGAAATCTGGATAAGTAAGGTTATACTTAATTTAATTAAATTAATTTAATTACATTAAACAATGTAATTGAAAAGACCAAAAGTATGTGGTGAGAAATCAACCAGTACAAAAGCATACGCATATTTACAGGTTATATATTTGTGTATATATCAGATGAACAGAATTCAGATTAACAAATCTGCTAAAGACCGACTTAAATTAACTCTCAAGGAAGTTTTTCATCAGCGTATTCATAGTGCCATTAAGTGGCACGGCTGTAACTTCCTGAGGAGATGAGAAAAGAAAAATGAAAAGCGGAATATGTCCCAAGGGCTAATTCAAATGCTCACTCAGTCCGTTAACAGTTAATCTTCCGCATTTTGAAACATATTCCAAAATTATAGTTAGTATATTCCATTTGTTCCATTTGTGCAGTGGAATTGACTCTTCTACGGAAGAAATCACATACCAAACTATACGGAAGATTTGGTACTTACCCCTGCTTAGTCAAATAACGAACCAAGCAACGTGGAATACGAGTGAGGAATTGGAATTGAAGCTTCGCAAAAAAGTAACACTCTGGCCGGAAAATAACATTTGTTTCTGTTCATCAATTATTTTACTCGAAATTGGCACAAATCAATTATACTGAAATGTTCGTTGCCACTAATACACAAATGTCATTTCAGCCCTGTTTTAATGGCAACATTAAACATAAATTTACTGATTCATATTATCTTGTTGAGTCTAGTCAAAATCCTGCTGTTGGAAGATCTTCATCATATATGGTTGCTTTATACTGTCACGTGAAAGACTTCATCTGCAAAATGATCGTATTCTTGACATGGAGATAACAAACTAAAGAAAGATATTTGAAGTCAGATCATCATCATTATGAATGTCATCATCAATCGCTAACTCATATTTGTTCACTCCTGCTCATCGTACTATTTGCCATGTTCTAATACTGTAAATTTTCTCATTTTTATATTTATGTGAAAGGTCCTTGTTTTTATTGTCGGAGGTTAACCTCAGCAAACATAACCTAACCTTCCACAATGGATTGTCGTTTTCAGCTTAGAACAAAGCTATTTCTTTAAAGAAAATCAGCTTAACCGAACCTAACCTAACATCTTTTCAATTGATTGTCGTTGTCGGATACAGAATAAATTTATCTGAAAAACTTACGAACAAATATAAAAATTAGGAGAAGTACCTATTCTGCATTATTATCAAGTAATGTTTATTTTAAACTGATTTATGTGAAATTTTACTGAATACTTGCGTGTTGATACGCAGTTGTATCCATTTTTAAATCATCTGTGCAGTTGCAAACGGAATATTACAGAATTTTTTTTAGATATATTATAGAACCGTATAATGTAAACCGCATAGACGTACAATCAAATATACGACCTAGTTGGAACATAAACAAATTATTTGGTCACATACTATGTAACGAAAAATTTAAAGTACTGTTGTTTTCATTGTTCCCAGGTGTTTCATTTTTTTCTACATCTTAATCGGTTATGATGTTTCCATAAATGATTCTGTAATTATTATGAATCGTTTTGTTACTTTTATCGGTATCGTTATTACGAGAGTACTTCGATTGTAGATGTTGCGACTTATTTCTTTGTGAACTACGGCGTTGAGAAACCGATTTTTTCGTTTTACTGAAGAATTATATTTTATTAATTTTTACATTCTATTAACATGACATCACGTTATGTTGATCAACCACGTTGATTGATTTTGTAAAATCGAGTAAATAGAAATATGTAACGAATTAAAGCAAGCACCTTCTCTCGTTTTAACGGAATGGTTAGATATTTATATTTTTGTTTACACTTTTATTTTTCCTAGTGAATTATTATTCCTAGACGATTTAATTGCCTAAGTCTTTTAGTCAACCTTTAGTCAACTGTACAAAGATTTGCAAAATTTTTGTCGTGCCAACATAGACTGTATTGAAATTTTCATATTATAATTTGGCCTATTAATAAATGTTTTGTTTTTATAAATGGATAGAAAATGACGAGTTCTTACCTCCCGGAAATCTTTTTCTTCGTATGAAACAGAAAGAAAGCGAGAGCGTCAATTTCAAAAGTTTATGCTATTGAAACAAAAGAGAATTACAATTAACGCGAAGATTAATTTACCTGCGATATTTAATGATAATTCTTTTTTAATTTGATGTTTTTAATTTTTGAAAAAAAAAAAACCTTGTATTCTGCTGCATGTTTACAAATAGCCTTAATTTTTTCAATAATTCAACGTACTTTCATTTTTTAATCATATACAAGCATTAAACAATCTGTTATGTTTATGTTACGAAATTTCGCATTATCAGAACGTTGAGGTTTTGTTCGGCTTGTCTGGTGCGAGTTTGGGCAACTTTTTAACCGATTTCTGGGAGAAGGTTACTAAATTCATACATCTCTTCTTTATATCTATTCAACATTTATTCAGCAACGAAAATCGCAAGTCGGAGTGAACGCTACTCATGTCTTGCAGGAGGTGTTCTTCCTGGTGGTTTTATTTACAGAACATTGGTAAATTTGTGTTTTGTTCACTGTTCTTATTGCAAGAAGCTTACTTTGTATATGTGAAATAATTGCTTTCAAACTTTCGAGACCATTACATCTTTTAAAGGATATTTCTATCATGATCTTCTGCGAAAAAGTTTCTAATTTTGTTTTTTTTTTTATTTTTTTTTATTATTGTTGTAGAAGGTTCTAGAGCAATTGTTAACAAGGAAAGGAAAAAGTTTCTATGAAAATAAATGTAAGCCATTTCAGGCCTAAAGATATCGACGGCAGTTTGCTTGCAACAATTTCTATGCGACAGAATGTAGTGATAATATAAACTAAAGTTAGGGTCGATTTCAAGGGAGTGTATTAGTACAATTGTTTCATATTTCGTATTTAAGCGCAACTATTGCCTTTCAAGTATAACAGGACTATCACGTTTGAATTCATACTAATAAGTTCGAAACACGAAAGAAGCAAAAAATTTTATGATAAAAACCATGGCCGACGATCCGTCTTATTGGATTTTGCAAAAACACCAATGGAACCTTAAACTGCAACTAAAATTTTCAAATTATCCACATGTTCATCTACAGAACTAATCAATGTGATGTTCGTAAATTCTCATGTTTTTTTGGGAAAAAGTCTCTATGTAGGATGAACCACGATAAGTTACAGATAGAATAGCAACGGAGTCTGAAAGATCACAACAAATTACTTTAAAGAGTGTATTCTTACTAAGATCTTTCAACAGGTTCCATACTTATCGATTTAGGCTTTCATTTAGAATATTTCGTCAATGAGACATGCTGTCATGGAACATTTGTTGTGCAGATTCAAAAACATCTGTTTCTGACAACACAAATTTCATAGAATCAAATATATTTTCAAGTGAAATAAAGTTTAAGAAAAATGCAAACAACAGAAAAGGAAGGAAAGAATATCTTTATTTCGATTCCTGAACTTAAGTACAATACAAATTTATATCTTGCACTCACGCTTAGACTTTAGCATCTGTGAATCCGTCTCCTTTAGGGTTTGAAAGGTACACTAACACTCTCTTAAAAGTTCTGTATACCCTTTCAAGGTTATGAATAATGCACTCTGTCTCCAGGTTTCGGATGTGTCGTATGGTGTGTTACAAACCGTATTTGCACCCTTACGATTTCTTACCTCTAGCCTTTTTGTCCTTACAGTTGCTACTATCAGATGGATCAGAGTAGTTCTTTCGATCTCTCCGTCTCGCTTTGCTACTTTTACGAATAGACGAAGATCTAGACGTGTTACCGAAATCCTCTTTCACCCTTCTATCGGGACTGTTATATCGTGACAACCGATCCTTTCCATCTGTTTCTTTATACTTCAGCTTTTGTATTTTTCTTACATGTTTCAGTGGATTTTGGCGTCTCTCGGATTTGTTTAGCCTTTCTTGCCTCCTCTGACTGCTGTGGTCGCGTTTCCGTTTCCCTGTATGGTGTTCCTTTTCACGGTTCCCGCTATAGATTTAAACAAAAATGGTTTATTAAGTCAAGTCGTATCACACCTGACGTGCTATTTTAAATCTGACCAGAAACTTTTTGTACTGGGAATACCTTGATTTATGGGTTAAATTTTGAAAATTTTTGTTAATAATTTTGATGTGTTTTTTAATTTTTCATTTTTCAAAAGCTCAAGGTTAGTAATTTCTACTATCTGGAATACCTATTTATTCTATTGGTTCTTTACAAAAATATGTTGTTTATAGTAGTGTAGAAAATGTAAGAAAATTTTATTTATTCAATTTTATTTTGTCTCAATAAATAACTGATAGATAAGTTTCAGAAAAAATATTGCAAAGATAACTCAGTACTTTAATTCTGTGACTATCAACATGGATTATTGTGACCGGAAACGCGATAATTGGACATTCGGTATTGAAAAAAACGATAACCAGTAAATGCTTGCATTATTTATATTCGTCTGAATTCATACTTTATACATTCTAAAATGGCATTAGGCTATTGCATATGAAATGGCCGATCTCGAAAATAGAAAATTAAACATACGTGATGACATTGAAATCACTACAATAAAATAACACTTATACCATATTAGTTTAAAGGTTATAATGTAATACAAGAGATTATTAAATATTTGGATAATATTCTTAATTTACAATATTTAATGACATGAAAGTACCTGAAAATTACGTTTATAATGAATTTAATGTATAAATGAACGTGAATTTAATGTATAAATCAAAGTAAATTTAATGAAAATTGCTACGTAATATAATATGTTGCATAAGAATGAGGGATTGTTGAAGAACCCTCTTACAGTGCGTTAGATTTTGCTGTGATACAAATTATGTTAGTTTATTCAAAATTTTGAAAACTCTGCAACCGCACAAATAAGTATTTGCTCTGTTGAAATATAGGGGAAGGTCAATATAAAAATTCATCGGACATCAGTTAATTAGCAACTTCAATCGTGTTCTATGCTCCTTTTAACCAGTTAACCGTGGCGATCTTTTTGCAAAGGGCGCCCCAGTGTGTGTCGCGATAATCAAGCGGTGACGAGTTAGGTCTCCAGAATTTATGAATCCATCTCAAATAATTTGCACTTTTTCTTTGTTTATTTTATTTCGTGTTGATCTTAAACATTTTAAACATATTACAATTTACGAATATAATTTAGTTTTCGCCAAAATTACAATTTAACCCCTTAACTTGCACGCTCGAGTTAATTCGAGCGCGCTAAACAGGCTAAACTGAAAATAACAATGTGAAAGCAAAGAAAAAAAAAATCGTTTTATTGATATTTATCATTTACATGGGATTGTAAGCTATAACACTTATTTATTCAACAATAAAATATAGCCTTTTTCCATGGAACAAAAGCGCAGTATATAAAAATTGACTTTTCTGTCCGATTTTTTAAAAAAAAACTGTGCGTTAAGGGGTTAAA